TAGTATTTAGTGGTCTCAAGGGAAGTCCCCAGTGACCAGCACTGTCAACCGTGACACACCACTCTGTTCCCCCCACAGTGCCTGGGAAGCTCCTGGGGCAGCCAAAGTCCGAACAGCACTGGAACATCACAGTAAAGTGAGAGTCCGAGAGCTCAGGAGCTGCAACCACCACTCCAGCTTCAGCCTCTACAGCACCTTTCCTGGCTGCAAACACCACCCCATGGACGCTCACCAGACTAAGAGTGATATATATGGCCAGTGGTTTCTGCAGTCATTCCAAGATGGTCCAGATGTGGTTGCACATAAAGGCCTGCTGACTGGCAATATTATGTGCACCCATATTTATTTTATCAATGTTTAATTTAACAATCTTCCTGCTATTGTATTCAGTAGTAACAGTGTCTCCCTGGCTGACTGGAAGCAGTGAGGCTACATGAGAGTCCATACAAATAAATAGGCAGTGCAGTATTTTCGAACCAGCTTACTTTTTAACCACCTCCACTGTTCTACACTCCTCTTTCTCAGCAGATGATGTAAGATAGAGAATCGAAGAATCTTAATTTACAATCAGAAGAATAACTACTACTAGTTAAACTGTCTTACAGCTGAAACAGCACATTGGGAAACACAAGAAGTTACTTAGAATATTCTTTACCGCTCAACTTACTGGTTGAAGACTGGGGAACATGTATTTATCACGGCACAGAAGTTCAATGGGAAAAATAATTACCATCTCTTTTTAAAAGCTGTCTGAATTTTCTGGTACCTTAAGGAAACAGTCTTGCCAGCCTTTTTTATAGTTTCCTCCAGCTGTAACATTCATAGCTCTTAAATCCTTAATTTTATTGCCAGTAATTAAAGAGTGTATGGGTCCTGTCCAAAAGATTGAAATGTTTCAAAATATTAAGAACTTTGTCAAGAAAATTAAGTACTTTGGTACTGCCAAATGACCATTTTACTCTCTCTTCTCCACTCCCCTCCCCCTTCCCCCCCCTTTTTTGCCAAATTATTTTTGGAACATAACACCTGTCATGCCTGCTTTTGTCCCAGACAAATGAATTTGAAATCATTATTTATTTACAACGCCTTTTCTAAACATATTTGGCAACAGAATCCCAGTCAGATCCCATTTTACCAAAGAGTTTGGGCAAGCAGGGCTTCAGACACCAGGGAAACAGCCTTGTTAGGTAGTGGAGTGGGCACACGTACCACAAAGCATAGGTGTTGGCAAGCTTCCATTGTATTAGCCAAATAATGGCACGTACTTTGCATCCAAGCATCATTAAAGGAACATGAACAAACAGTGCACAGCAAAGCAGTTCAGGAAAACTGGACATAGACTCTGCAATATCACTTATAAACCAAAATCTTTGAACTAGAAACTGCACTACAGCCATCCCAGGAAGCTGTGGTTTGCTGCATGGAATGCTTCATTCATGTGCTATTTTTAGGAACATGGACATCTAAATAAAATTTTGTAGACACATAAGGTTATCTAAGGTTAAAACAGTTTATCATATTCAAAAACAAGAAAAAAGGGATAACAGTACATGTTTACTAAGGCAGTCTTTTCAGAGAATGTGGTGATTAGGAGAGAAAGAGACTTGTCATAATCCTTTCAGTCCAAGTTGTGCTCTTAGAAATCTGCACTACCATGAGGCTCAGATGGGGTCTCAGAGAGAGGGTAGTTCTGATGTAACTTCTTTCAAGAATAGATTTCTACTCCATAAATAGCTGGCAAAGCAGCAAGAAGTGCCTTGGTTGGTAATGAACAGGCTGAAGGGTTTTTCTGGGTTCATCCACCTGATTCTGATTGAGCTGATATCTCCCTTTCTATTTAAACATGAACATGGTCTTTCTCATAGTTTTGTTCCTACTGATGGCACAGGTACCACTAGAGATTGCTGAAGGGACAAAGACTTCCAAGACCTTCAATTGGTCCATCATAAAACTCTGTTGTATCACTATCAGCTTATACTTTCTTCATAAAAGAAAGTTCCAGCCAAATGCTGTTTCATCAGGTCCTTGTGCAGGTCCTGTACAACCACCTAGCATGGCATGGAGCCCTGCCGAAAGGCCTATATTAGGTGCAGAGAGAATTAGGAACATCTTAGTTAGGAAATGGGATGTTCAAGTATTGACATGCCCAAGTATCTAATTAAATATGTTCCGTAGCAGAGAAAGTCACATCAATGTTTAACCCAGAAGGTCACAAACTAGGCTGATCTGAGGGCAAGTGGGAATATTAAGGGCACACTGAAGAAATTTCAACAAGCTTGCAAGGAAATTAGCGTGCAACACTTTTACAGGGTTAGAAGCTGTATGGGGGATGTATAGTCAAGAAAAGGTTCAAAAACTAAAATTAGTCCATCATATTCATACCCTTTTCATGCTGTTCCACCTCTTTTCACAGAGGAAAAAGCAACTTTACTCCAGGCTAGGATGCATTTGACTTGAGCTCTTCACTTCAGCTCTTTACTGTATGAGGTGCACAATCATAACAAAATGCAGAGACACAGTAAGAAGGAAGCTGAGGTTGCATTTCAACAAAGAAATGCCGTATGTAGCAGCTAGGTTCCCCACCTTTATTTCTAGTTGGCAGTAAAATGGCAATTAGTGTTGAGTAGTAGGATGCTTAAGACCATTCCTCTGATCTTCTTTCACTACCCACCCCCCTGTTCTTTTTGTTTGGTTCCACAGTCCAAGTCTGGTTCTCAGAAAGGCTACAGGTTATGCATTTAGATTTAGATTCTGTTCTGAATCAGTGGAACATTTACTAACATTTGACTGATTTAATAATTTAAATCATAGAACTGTATATACTTTGGAGACTGCCTTTCTGCTGTTTGCATTTTAGCAACTGTGCCATTCCCAGCCCCCTCAATCCCACTGTGTACAGGAAGTCACACTCCTTTGCTGACGATGGGATGTTACGCTCATTGTGTGCCTGTGCGCGTGCGTCTGTACCCAATGTCAAACCACTTCCTCAGGCTTCAAGCAAAGGTCCTTGGAGAAGGTGGCATGCATAGGAGCGGATGTAGAACAAAGCTCTTCTGGGAGAGGGAAGAGAAAATAGAACACTAGGGTAAATGCTGTAAAGTAGTTTGTTAATACTCTGTTTCACAGTGATGGCTGATTTTGAGTCCTACCTGTTTTAGTTGCAGATGCAGGATTGACGACTGCACTGAATTCTGCATACTATGAATGTCCAGTCAATAACTTCACAAAATGCTTCAAAGTTCCACGCTTACCTCCTAGACGTCAGCAGGCAGTTCTGAATGCTGCTTGGACACCCTAGCTAGTAAAATCCATCTGGAAGTTAACAAGTTGCACTGTGCTTTTCCCTGGAGGAGGCAAAGCAGCCAGCACAGCTCAGCCAGCTGCCCCGTGCGCAGCGGGGCTGGAAGCATCTGCCACCCTGCAACATCATGGCCTTAGAGAAATCTGAGCACTGCGCTTTGCTTCAAGAGTGGAAGAAAAAAGAGCCAGTAGAACTGCAAGCTGCCTTTTATCAGAGGGGGAAAGGAGACAGGAGCAGAAGAGATTAGCCTCCAGTACAGCTCAAGCTTGCCCTGAGCTTCTGCTGCTGCTGTCTCCCAAGAAGAAAGCCAACATGGACATGTAGTTCATGTAGTTAGCAGTTAAGACCAGGCCACCTTGGGTTAAATAAAAACCTACCCATCAGATCTCCTGTGGTATGTTACCTGTAAAGTCCGCAAAATAGAAGACCACAAGAAACGTTTTTAGAACAAGACCTGAAAGGCTGAAACCCTTAACTGTATATGTGCTAAGCCCAAACCTTTTCTCTCACTTAGAAGTAGGAATTGTCAGTTTGATGTACACGAAGGGATAGATTATATTTAGCAGGGCTCGGATAACTTTTGGAGGTTTTTCATCCCTGTGGAGAAGATTCCTGTGGTGGCACTCAGCTGGAAAGGCAGGGAGTTGCCAGGATTTTCCAGGCACAGAAAGTGTTATTAGAGTTCTGCTGGGCAGCTGTAACATCTCTGCCCATTGATCTGCTTGTCCTCAAAGGTTCCTGCAGTTCAGGAAATCTCCTCCAAATGCCCTGGTCTGCATACATTGTCCAGGCAACAGAAATTAACAGGATAAGATGAAATGGCATTTAGAACAGGAAAAATTAAGTTAAATATTCTGAAAAACCTCTGAAAAGTTGATCTTTCATAAATAGAAGTGATCATCCAGTCTATTTGCCTTCTTTTTATTATTCTCCACCTGCTGGTAGGAACATTTCGACACTGCAGTACAAGAGAGTGTGAGAAAAGTACCTGTCATTAGAACGAGGAATTAGTACGCATTTCAGAAAACAACATCCAGAAAGGAAAGCTAAACACACACTCAGTCTCTGTAGTGGAAGAATTCCACCATTTGCTACCAGAGAAGTGCTCTTCCAGTAAAAAAGACCATGATCCAGTATGACTAAACACACAAAAAAAAAAAAAAAAAAAAAAAAAAAAACCAGATACCCACATTGACTCCTACTGTAGTTATTTTTTTTTTAACAATAAAAAATGTATTTATTAAAATAGGGAGAGCCAAATACATGATTTTACTAACAAAGTAGTTTGGAGAGTCTAAAAGCAATTTCTATATCAGTTTATTCTTTGAACTGCCCAAACTATGTATTAGTCTCATCTCCTTCTGGCTGCTGCTCTTGCAGACACGTGGGATCTCAAAATATCATGTGTCAAAACAAACAAACAAAAATGTATCCAAAAGTGAAAAAGCTCATCCAAATCCAAATGTATCCAAGTGTCTTTAGCAACACTAGGCACTAATACATGAGATAACTAAATGGTTTTTGCTAAGATGATCCATCATCATCTGTCTGCATCCACAAAGTGTTCAAATGTAAGATTCTGGCATACAGCTGGAGAAAAAAAAAGTTAATCTCTATAGACCACAAAATAACATCTGCTTACAACTGTGGTGCAGTTTCAAATATGTTCTTGTGAGATCTTCCATCTTTACATACTTACTGTGCAAAGCATTTTCACAAACTTCTGAAGACGAGGCCATGATGGAGAGACAAGACTGAATTTTGCTCAGCTCCGCTTCTAGAGGTAAGAATCCATTACCAGCTTAACTCACCCTGCCAAGCAACTGTGTGGAAACGGTTGCACCACAGTCGACATGGTAAGTATATTGATACCCCTTATTTCCAACAGTCTTGAGACCAGCCTCAATTGATTAGATATTTAAAATCAGTCACATCTGTACAAACTTGGATTTGTTTGGAAACATGAGTACAGAAAGTTACTTTCAAAGTGAAATGACAGGGGAGCCTAGACAATATATGGTACCTAACAAGCATGCTTGGAACAATAAATCAATCAAGCCATGTCCCAGAGATCAAGTACTATTCTTCCACTTGACATCAAATAGCAAGTGCTTGTTCTCTTCTTGTCAACTGAAGCAGCACAGCAGAATACCATAACCCTTCAGTAGCTGCACCAAGCCTAGTCTAATAGTAATCACAGGTGTTTGTGGAACTGGAATAGAAACACTTACAGGGGGAAAAAAAAAAAAAAAAAAAAAGACAAGCCCAAATGAAATAATTAATCTAACGATGTGCTAAAAGTAGCAAGACCATACCCACCACTCTAAAACTCCTACCTTAATGGTGGATACAAGGTGCATACAAGTAAAGTATTTTCACCTGCACATGACCAATAACTTTACCGTGAGAAAAATCACACATTCAGTTATAAAGAATCAGAACATAAAACAGGAAGTCTTTGTTTTCTAGCTAAAAAAATAATAAATATAGGAAACCCCTATCTTTTGTAATAGGGAGAAGAAAACAAAAATCTAACACTCAAGAAGCTGAATTCAAATTCCTTATAGAAATAAAAATTAGTTTGCTGAAAATATTTTCAATAAACCCATCAAACCCATGAAACATGAGTCAGACTAACTCTTAAAGCACTTTTAAAAAGCACTTTACAAACTCCCTTTGATCAATACCGGAGACATAAAATCCACCTACAAGGTCAGCTGTAGAAAATATCAAGAAAAGCAGAGGCCACACAGAAGCACTTGCCTACCCAGACAAAACAAATACAATACATATAAGATTTCAACACATTTTCAAGTCTTTTTAGAATTGGCAGAAAATGCATGTTCCCTTGAGTCCCGCTAAAACTATAAACTTTGCCTAGGTCTCAGCTTTGAGAGTGTGTTGAAACAAGTCTGTTTTCCACAGTGTATTATGTTGACTACAGATGTAGGAAAAAAAAAATACATATACTTTTTCCTTTTTAGTTTTTTTTTTTTTTTCCCCTTTTTCCTCTTTGCTCTCCAAGTCAGTGAGTGAATATACAAGATGATACAAAGAACATATTACACCACATTGTGGAAACTCTAAAACAAACACATCACCACAAATATAGGTGTTAGTGATAAAGATCAGGAACTACAAAGCAAAGAAAAAAATATTTGGGAATTAAACAGAAGGCAGAAGCCATTCAAGCACCAGTGCCAAAAAGCAAAACTATTTAAAAGCCAAACCACGGCTCCATGCTCCCTACCAAAAAAAATCACAGGCTGGCAACTGTGCAGAGCCAGACAGCAACCAGAGGAAAACAATACCCCTGTTTACATAGGTTATTCTTTTCTGTATTTGCATACAGCATACTATGGAGAAGTTAATATTACTGTGCAAGATGAGGAGCTTCGCAGAACATCCTAACACGCGTTCTAAGCAACCCTGAAACTCAGCATACCACGGCAAGACTCCACAAACACTACTGCTGGAAAAGTTTCAAGTTTTAAGCTGCTTTAGCAGACAAGCAGGATTCTTTATTTGGAAAACATTTCAATCAACTCATTAATGTTTGTAAGAGTAGGGATGTCACCCACAGGAGCTCTTTAGGCTTTGTGCACACAAAGGTTTCCAGGATGTATTGACTCCAAGCTACTTCTGTGAAGTAGATCTTTTCAAAAAATAGGAATGAAGAACAGGAAAGGACATGTACAGGTTGTATCATGTAAAATAATTGACATAAATCTTTTAAGTTTCACCTTAAAAGTATTTTACCAAAATCCCTTCTGTTGTCATTCTATAAGGGAATGATGTTTCAAAGAAATTCACTTAAACTTCAGGCTCTAGCAGAACTTTCTAGACTGGGACCCACCTGCAGGGATTCCGAGTCTTGACAAAGGTATTTTCACAAATACACAATTCCAAATGTTTTGCTCAACTACATTAACACTTGCTAAAGTTCATAACCAACGTGATTTAGTTTCTACCAGAGACATCCTGGATCATTCTCAAGTTATAAACAAATATATCATAGTAACCAGCGACAATATTTAGCAAGCTAGGGATGGAATTCAACTCACCCAACTTCACCAGCTAAAACCTTTAGGATTCACTTTTAGGTCAGCCCCTTGGGATAAGATAAATTACCCTCTGGAAATGCTCATCCTTTTCCACTGACTACAGAAGAAGCCAAAAGCCAAGTGGGCTGAACATCCCCCCTGAGATGACCATTTTGTTTCACTGACTAATAGCTAGGTCAGATTGGATCTAACGTTCAGATGGCTAAACTAAGTGAAAAGAGTCCCCCTCAAAACTTTAATCTATGACATTCTTGCACTCCCTTTGCTGTAACAACCTGTGTGATGCAAGGGTGCTACACTTCTGGAGTAGGCAGGCAGATACTTACTGTCCAAGGGAACTGAGGTTGTTTAGTCTAGAGAAGAGAAGACTGAGAGGTGACCTTATTGCTCTCTACAACTACCTAGAAGGAGGTTGTAGTGAGGCTGGTGTTGGTCTCTTTCCTTAAATTACTGAAGATAGGATGAGAGGAAATGGCCTCAAGTTGAGCCAGGGGAGGTTTTGATTGGATATTAGGAAGAATTTCTTCACTGAGAGAGTGGTTAGACACTGGAATAGGCTGCCCAGGGAGGTGGTGGAGTCATCATCTCTGGAGCTGTTCAAAAAACAAGTAGATGTAGCACCTGAGGCTATGGTCTAGTGGCTAGGAAAATGTTAGGATGCAGATTGAACTTGATGATCCTAGAGGTCATTTCCAGCCACAGTAGTTCTATGATTATATGCTTGCCAATATGTTTCTGTTTACTAGGCAGCAGCTCCAAAAATATATAATTTATGTAAATATCTAAGAGAAAGAGTGGAGAAGCTGCAGTAACATAAGGGTTATTTTGCCTATTATTTCACAAGAGGTTTGAAAATAACTTTTTGCTGTACATTTGGCTGGAACTATGATGACTCAAGGCACATGAATTCGTACCATCTCCTTGAAGTTGCCTCTAAAGACCTGTTTTATCGCAAGTTTATTTATTACATTTAGAATTCTTTAACTGTGTAAGAAAATTACTTTTGGCTTAAATTTCAGTACAATTACCTTTCAGTGGTTGAATTTCCAGCTTTGAGATTTAAGGGGATTTTCTTGGGTTTAATGTTTTCTTGTATATATGTGCATTTAGCATTACTGTACTATTATACTATAGGAAACAAGGCACTCATACTTGGAGAACACCAGCTTCTTGTTAAATTCAATCAGCAGACAAACAACTGTGTCTTTGTCACAGAAGCCCAAGTTCAAATGCATAAGGATCAGATAATGAAGAAAAAAAAAAAATCTTGAATCTTGTTTGACACAATATGCTTTCACTTTATTTAAGAAGTGAATGCACAAGTATCTAAATCAGATGCTCTGAAACCAAAACAGTTTAAACTTAAAATGTTTAAGCAGTTGCTTAACAGCATATACTACATTGAAATTAAGTTAAAAATCAGACTTTTTCTGGTCGTCGAATGTAAAAGGAAAAAAAAAAAAACACAAAAAAATACAACACAAATAAAGAAATACTTTTAAAATTTGGGGGAAGAGGAGAAGAATCAGAATTCATTTTTAGAAACGAATTACCATCTCAACATCTTTGTCTTTTATGTACTGAACATGTAAGAGGAAGTGGGAATTGTCAGAGGTATGTATAACTATGTTTAAATTATAGCTATAAAGCCAGCTAGCCTAATTCTTAGAGAACTTCTAGTTAGAACCTACTCAGATTACACACAGATAATAAAAAGAATTAAGCTAGGAAGCTGAAGGGCTTTTTTGCCCACACGTTTTTTAAACATGAATCCAATTACTGGAGTTTCATAGAGCGGCTGTCTCACTCCATTCGGTTTCCCCTAAAACAAAGATGATAGAGCTGTGCTGCAGCATTGAAAAATCCTGCATTTATGTGGGCAAATGAAATCCCTTCTACAACATTATTCTGCTGTGGGAGGGGGTGTGGAGGAATCCCTTTTAGCATAATAAAAATGATGGTGATATAATGAATAATTATTATGAGATTTTATAGCTGGAAGGCATGGTAGTTATTTGAAAGCTATTTGTAACCAGCAGCCTTATAAAAAGCTACAATGTATTACATATGTGCAGAAGGTAACTGCAATAATGTATTAAAGCTCAACATCTTAAATAATGAACGGATGTTTGTTTCTACAGTAACTACCTCTTTATCAAAAAACGTGGGCTGACAAGGAACTAAATTAATTATCAGCCTTTTAAGAAAACAGCAATAAGGACCTGAAAATAAACTGCCCTGAGATGACAGCTTTCCTTTCCTTCTCCGACAGTCATATCAATCCCTTCCTTCCAGAGGCAATCTGGTTTTCCGGTGAAATGCATGGGTGGATGAGCCCTAGTAGATTAATTAGTTCTATTTCCCACTCAAAAAAGTGCTGATGACAAAGAGCAGAGCTTCCAAAAGGTGGTATTGCCAACACCTAAGAAGATGTGGAAGAATGGGATCCCAAATACCCAGGTCTTGGATTCCTGTAATAAATAAAAGACCAAACAATGGGATTTCTTTCTTCATTTAGGGAAAACAAACAAACAAAAAAATCTCTAAAGGAAAAATAGAAGCAATATCTAACTCTGCAGTCAGGTTCATTTGTTTGTTTGGGTTTTGGGGATTTTTTTTTTTGGTTTTTTGGCTTTTTTTAATAGTCTTGATATTCATGAACTACTTTACAGCCT